GGATATTTCAGTAACTACAAACAATGAAAAGGACAATTTTAGGTACTAGCAACATTTTTAAAGATTTGTTTGGTCACCAAGAGTAATTGTAAGAGCTCTTCGGTAACGAACAAATGTAAGAACGCTTTTGTTGCAACAAGAATTGGTAAGATTTATTTGTTCACTGACAACAATCTGTAAGAACTATCTGGTCCCTAACATCAATGATAAGGATAATTAGGCAAATATCAGCGATTGGAAGAACTGTTTGGTAACACTAGCATACAAAACAAAGTGTAAAAGTCTCTAACACTAGCGCAAATCTTGAAAATTTGGAAACAGTAAGAAATGAAAGGACAATCTGTTGTAACACAAACCAATATGGCTCCTAATTTGGTGTAACACAAGCCCCAATGGCACCTAATTTGGTGTAACACAAGCCACAATGGCTCCTTATTTGGTGTAACACAAGCCACAGTGTTACAGTTGAAGTTTTTTTTCTGTGGATCGCGAAACTTTCTGTATGCTTCCAAAGATTTCTCTTTTATTTGGGATCAGTACATAGCTGTAAAGGTATGAGGCATTAGTTCAAAAGCCTAAATGATGGGGACATTTTTATATGATTAGATAAGTGTAGTATCCGAGGTAACAGCAAGAGAAATGAAAAAGGAAAAGCAATTTCCTCTTGCGGTCTTCTCACCTTCTTATGCTCTGTCTTATTCCTCTTGCTGTCCTCCCATCTACTTACGTTCTATCATATTCTCAATGTTGTCCTCTCACCTACTTATGCTCTGTCTTATTCCTCTTGCTGTCCCCTTGGATACTACATTGCATCTAAGTGATTATGTTTATTTCATTTTGTTTTCATTGTTGCGTGTTCGCTGAAGAAGGCTTCTTGCCGACACGTTCGTTATGTTTTTTTAAATTGTGTTTTTTTTCTGCTTCCTTCTTTCGGTTTTACTCATACTTTGTTTGGCTCATTGCTTGGACCTGACCTAATGGCAGTCTCTCACTTAGTACCATTGCTTTGACCTGACCTAATGGCAGTCTCTCACTTAGTACCATTGCTTTGACCTGACCTAATGGCAGTCTCTCACTTAGTACCATTGCTTGGACCTGACCTAATGGCAGTCTCTCATTTAGTACCATTGCTTTGACCTGACCTAATGGCAGTCTCTCGCTTAGTACCATTGCTTGGACCTGACCTAATGGCAGTCTCTCACTTAGTACCATTGCTTTGACCTGACCTAATGGCAGTCTCTCGCTTAGTACCATTGCTTGGACCTGACTTAATGGCAGTCTCTCACTTAGTACCATTGCTTGGACCTCACCTAATGGCAGTCTCTCACTTAGTACCATTGCTTTGACCTGACCTAATAGCAGTCTCTCACTTAGTACCATTGCTTTGACCTGACCTAATGGCAGTGTCTCACGTATTATTATTTCTTAAACGACTGTCCCTAATACTCAAATGACTTTCCAATTGTCACACACGAATGTGCTATTATCTCACATTTGTCCTACTGTCTCACACGACTATACTATTGTCTCTCATGACTGTCCTTTTATCTCACACGATTGTCCTATTATCGCACACAACGGTCCTATCGTCTCACACGACTGACCTAATGTCATGCACAACTGTCGGCTCAGTCAAAAACCTCCATCAAAAACATTTGATAAATCGCTATTTTCATTGAAAAGCTCTTCTCTCTCTCTCTCTCTCGCAATTTAATCTTAAATTTGTCTTGACATAACATAAACATACCATGAACACAGTTTTAGATTTTATGGATTACTCATAATTATCTGAGATTATCCCTACACATCTAAAATTCCTTTCACTGAGGGTTAACACATTCCCATGAATGACAAGGTACAGACAAGATTCTAAAGTCTCACATACACGGAACCAAGTAGAGGAGTGGAGATGTCTCAGGTGTTGATAGGAGCACCGTGTTTTCTTCCAATGTCCTGGAGTAAATCAAGTGTTTGATGATAGATTTGTTATATATCAACACGCTGCAGTGTAGCAAGTCTTTTAACGGAAGACTTTAAGATGATATATGCGTAAATAAATGGTCATTTAATTCATAGTTTATATCTACACATATGCTTTATTTCTCTTTTTCTTTTTTAATCAAACGAACAATGAGTCAGGCTTGCGTGTTAATAAATGGACAGGATGATAAATCTCTGATCGAACAATAAAAATTATTACATGTAAAGCATCATAAATTAGCTCCCGACCTTTCAAAATAGTTGTATTGCAAAGTTCTAACATTTTCACATTTTAGCATAGAAATATCAATAAATAACTATTGTACATGTGCTCAACTTATACGCATCAAGTATAACTATTGTGCATGTGTGGTCAATTTTTACGCATCGAGTATGACTATTGTACATGTGTGCGTAATTTGTACGCATCGGGTATATTTTTTTAAAGTCATTTAATTTGATCTCATTAATCAATCTAGACAGACAATAGAAACAGCAACAAGTTCTAGTCTAATACAGCAAGTTCTAGTCAAATACAACAAGTTCTAGTCTAATACAACAAGTTCTAGTAAAATACAACAAGTTCTAGTACAATACAACAAGTTCAGGTAAAATACAACAAGTTCTAGTCAAATACAACAAGTTCTAGTCAAATACAACAAGTTCTAGTAAAAAAAAAAACAAGTTCTGGTCTAATACAACAAGTTCTAGTAAAATACAACAAGTTTTAGTAAAATACAACAGTTCTAGTCTAATACAACAAGTTCTAGTCTAATACAACAAGTTCTAGTGAAATAGAACAAGTTCTAGTCTAATAAAAGAAGTTCTAGTCTAATACAACAAGTTCTAGTAAAATACAACAGGTTCAGGTAAAATACAAGTTCTAGTCAAAAATAACAAGTTCTAGTCAAAAACAACAAGTTCTAGTCAGATACAACAAGTTCTAATCTAATACAACAAGTTCTAGTAAAATACAACAAGTTCAGGTAAAATACAACAATTTCTAGTCAAATACAAGTTCTAGTGAAATACAACAAGTTCTAGTCTAATACTACAAGTTATGGTAAAATACAACAAGTTCTAGTGAAATACAACAAGTTCTAGCCTAAGACAACAAGTTCTAGTCTAATACAACAAGTTCTAGTCTAATACAACAAGTTCTAGTAAAATACAACAAGTTCTAGTAAAATACAACAAGTTCTAGTTTTATACAACAAGTTCTAATAAAATACAACAAGTTCTAGTAAAATACATCAAATTCTAGTAAAATACAACAAGTTCTAGTCAAATACAACAAGTTCTAGTCTAATACAACAAGATCTAGTAAAATACAACAAGTTCTAGTAAAATACATCAAGTTCTAGTAAAATATAACAAGTTCTAGTCAAATACAACAAGTTCTAGTCAAATACAAGTTCTAGTCAAATACAACAAGTTATAGTCTAATAGAACAAGTTCTAGTCTAATACAACAAGATCTAGTAAAATATAACAAGTTCTAGTTTAATACATCAAGTTCTAGGAAAATACAACAAGTTCTAGTCAAATACAACAAGTTCTGGTCTAATACAACAAGATCTAGTCGAATACAACAAGTTCTAGTCTAATACAACAAGTTCTAGTAAAATACAACAAGTTTTAGTAAAATACAACAGTTCTAGTAAAATACAACAAGTTCTAGTCAAATACAACAAGTTCTAGTCAAATACAACAAGTTATAGTCTAATACAACTAGTCTACAACTAAATACAAGTAAATATAGTCAAACAATAGAAACAGCAACAAGCTATAGTCAAATACAACAATTTCTAGTCAAATACAACAAGTTCTAGCATAAGAAACAAGTTCTAGTCTAATACAACAATTTCTAGTCAAATACAACAATTTCTAGTCAAATACAACAATTTCTAGTCAAATACAACAATTTCTAGTCAAATACAACAATTTCTAGTCAAATACAACAATTTCTAGTCAAATACAACAATTTCTAGTCAAATACAACAATTTCTAGTCAAATACAACAATTTCTAGTCAAATACAACAATTTCTAGTCAAATACAACAATTTCTAGTCAAATACAACAATTTCTAGTCAAATAATTTTTTTTCGATAACATTTAATTCATATTTTTTTAAAAACATATTGACATTTTTGGTCCCATCCTCATGAACTGAAGTGTGAACATTCATACGGCTTTGGTTCATTTGACATCTTGTAACAAACTTTACAGTTCTAATGTAAGCAACAGACAAAATTTACATTTGTAATATCACACTGACGGTTTCAACGCAGTGGTCCTCAAAACCCATGCGTGCAAGCTTTATTTAAAATATAAAAATGTAATTTTTAATTAATTTTTTTTTTTTTTTTAACGACAGTTGAACAAAATATTTTTTTTTGTTGTAAATATTTCTTTATGTGAACGAGTCTCAAATTGTTGCATTATGAGGACCACTGCTGTAAGACAAGAAGTCAATATAATTCACTCTGTCATTTCAGATGTCACAGCCAGTCGTCTGATCAATAAGACGAAAGAAAGAAAAATAGTCCCTAAAATAGTTCCATCTCCTGCACACGAGACAATTATCCACCCAATTAAAGCTGATTTTTCTTCAATTTTCCACCGAGACGCGAAGTAGCGGAGGTACCGGTCGACCAGTGGAACATGTCGAATGGCGGGGGGACCGTGTGTCGGGGCGGGTGACGGCTGACACCTGTGCCACCATGCTCTCCTCGATCCCAGGCCCGGCACGCAGAGACCCGCCCGACAGATGCTCAGTCGGGGAACGAGCGGCTTTTGGGGGAAGCGTCTCCACGTCGTCCCTGGACAAACAGCACAACAGCGGACCGCCGGAGATCAGGGGGTCGACGTCGGGGAGGGGGGCGACTTCTTGTAGCGATCAGCAGTCGACGGATTATGTAGTCCCAGACAATGTGCCACAAAAGGTATCGGCCCAGCAGGTTTGGATACGTCGCCTTTCACCGCAGCACAGCCGCGCGCCGCAGAGCCGGCCCCCGTGTAAACACCAGCAGCAGCAACGGAAGTCGAACGATGCGTTAATTTCTGAACCCCCACTCCCATTATTTCAAGATGGCGTACAGGAAAACAGCCCTAGGATTGGTGGTGATCACGCCAGTTCCGGGACAAATGATAGCCCATTAGGACCAAAAAGGGAGCTTACCAGTGGCGAAGTAGCGAGTTTGAGAAAGGATTTCGCTTCAAAGGTCGACTACTCCGAGCCCACGCTTGCCACGTCACCGACAGTTTCCCCGCGATTCGTACGATGCAAACGTCAGAGCCGCGTGCACTCGGCAGACGAGCCGAGCTTTGAAAACGTCGTCAGGGATATACTCTTGATCGGCGACAAGAGAAGTGATTTGTGTTGTAAGTTCTATCTGGAAGGTAAGTCTCTGGACGACTTGACGGATAAGTCACCCGTCAACAACCTATCGCCGGTCGATTCCGCAACCTTGCCAGATGTGTCTCAGAGCCAGGATGGGTCTGTGAGCTTGCGTTCAAAGGAAGCGCTCTGCTCCGACAAACGCTCTTCGGCCGATAGAGAATCCGTGATTTCCGCAACCACTAACAGCGATGACCACCGCTCCGATTCGTGCAATGACTTCGGGAATACGAAAAAGCAGAAGAAGAAGAAGATCAAAGTCAAAAACAATAACAGCGACAACGACAAATCCAACCTTTCGCTCAGCGTGTCCGGTTGGACCAACGGCCACCAGCAGCAGGAAGGAAACACCGACGAAGAGCCGACCAGGCCGCCGTCCGCCTGCAGCAGCACCAAAGGACACTCCCGACGTTTCGCCAAGCGTGGCATGTTCCCCGGTTCCAATTGGAGAAGACTGCGGAACACACTGAAGGCCGCCAATGAAATGCAAAGCACCAAGAAGACCAAACACACGCTGAATCGTGAAGACTCTTTTCTCAGGAAGTTCTCCACGAGGAACCACCAGAACGTTCAGAACACTTCGCAGTCCACGGACGAGGGCGTGCCGAGGGCGTACGACTCCTCGGAGAAATACGACGGCAGGCTCGTGATCCAGCACGACGGGAACTTCATGTTCTACTGGCTGGGCGTCGTGACGGTGTCGGTGCTGTACAACGTGTGGACGCCCATCGCGCGGGAGGCGTTCAAAGAGATCCAGGAGGGCTGCTATCCTTGCTGGTTCTCGTTCGACGCTATCTTCGACATCATCTACATACTCGACATCATCGTGCAGTTCCGCACCGGATACCTGGACCAGGGGCTCATGGTGTACGATTCTAAAAAACTCAGGGAACGGTACACAAAGTCCAAAGTGATCTACGTGGACTTTCTGAGCCTCCTGCCGCTGGATCTCTTGCAGCTCGTCATCGGCGTTCACCCGATGATCCGATTCCCCCGGTTCCTGAAGGTGTATCGGACGTTTCGATTCCTGCACATGCTCGAGTCTCGGACGGCTTATCCTAACTTGATCCGGGTCATCAACCTGACCCACATTCTGTTCCTGGGTGCCCATTGGTTTGCCGCCTTCTACTACATGATTAGCGAGGCCGAGGACTTCAAGGGCGACTGGGCGTACCCGAAACCTGTCGGAGACTTTGCCGACGTCAACCGGAAATATCTCCGATCTCTGTTCTGGTCGACCTTGACACTGACAACCATTGGTGACCTTCCACCGCCGGATAATAATAACGAGTAAGTTGTTGTTTGTTTTTATTTGTTTTTTGCTGTTTGTTGTTTGTTTGTTGTTGTTGTTTGTTGTTTGTAGTTTATTGTTGTTTGTTGTTTTTGTTTGTTGTTGTTGTTTGTTGTTTGCTTGTTGTTGTTGTTTGTTGTTTGTTGTTGTTTGTTGTTTTGTTTATTGTTGTTGTTTGTTGTTGTTGTTTGTTGTTTGTTTTTTTTTGTTGTTGTTTGTTTTTGTTTCCTGTTTGTTGTTTTTGTTTGTTGTTGTTGTTTGTTGTTGTTTGTTGTTTTTGTTTGTTGTTTTTTGTTGTTTGTTGTTGTTTGTTGTTGTTTGTTGTTTGTTGTTGTTTGTTGTTTTTGTTTGTTGTTGTTGTTTGTTGTTTTTGTTTGTTGTTGTTGTTTGTTCTTTTTTTCGTTTTAGTTACTGATATTATCTAGTATTACCCCATCTATAACTGCTAATCAGTCCTTCATAAATTAACACTAAAGTGTAACGGTTTGATCATTTTTATGTTTAAAATATATATGATTTCTTTTGTACTATTACATTATGACACTCATTTTTAATATAATTAAATTGTTAGTATATTTGTAAATGCTATGCCATTAAATAGTATTTTATTACACTTCGAATGTACGCTATTATACAGTACAAATATTACAGCCAGTATTTTTTTTCTATATTAAATATTATTTTTAAAATATAATTAGTAATAATTACATAAACTTAATCAGTTTCTATATAACTATCCTAGAAAATATATTATTTTCTCTTATTTAGTTATTATTTTAATTTTAAGTCTTCTTAAACCCGGATCCTAATTAAAGCTTACGTTTATATCTATCTATATCTATATCTATATCTATATGCCACTCGAGTTGGGTTATTGGTTTGGCTTTACAATATCAACCAATCAAAGTGCAGGATAGAAACTCAGGAACGTATGTATCACATCTCTGAATTAACTGACAAAAGCAACGTTTCAAGTTTTGAACTATTTTTCCCTTGTCCTCAAATCTCATTACGAATGCCAACAAATGCCAAGTTTTCGGCGACTGCACCCAACTGCTCCCATGATGACCGGTTGGTTGCACAACTTAGCCACAAGCAATAATGTGGTCACCCCTGGCTCTGCCTTCTACACCCCATGGTAGTGTGGTCACCCCCCTGGCACTGCCTTCTACACCACAAGTGGGTGTGGTCACCCCTGGCACTGCCTTCTACACCACAAGTGGGCGTGGTCACCCCAGGCACTGCCTTCTACACCACAAGTGGGCGTGGTCACCCCTGGCACTGCCTTTTACACCACAAGTGGGTGTGGTCACCCCATACACTGCCTTCTACACCACAAGTGGGTGTGGTCACCCCTGGCACTGCCTTCTACACCACAAGTGGGTGAGGTCACTCCTGACACTGCTATATTCTACACTCCAGGCGGGTGTGGTCGTCCTTGGTTAAGGAACACCGTTTATTGTTTCGGATAAAATAAAACTCATTACACCAGCCCACGTGACATCATTTCCGCAATAAACAGGTGACCATGATATCCTGGTCAAGGTATGAGCAGTACTGTGTCCAGTTGGAACATTGTTTGGGTCTCGAGCTGTGAGCCTGAGTGTTGTTTGAAATATTGCCTGGAGCATACGTCACATAAGACCTGTTGGTCCTTGTGCGGTGCGTAAGCTAAGCCGAAACCAAAGGCTTAACGAGACTTTCGCCCGAAACCAAAGACTTAACGAGACTTTCGCCCGAAACCAAAGGCGTAACGAGACTGTCGCCCGAAACCAAAGGCAAAGGCTTAACGAGACTTTCGCCCGAAACCACACTGAAAGATTTAGATATTTCGAAATTCATTGGCGCATACGGGCTAAGTACATCGAAAAATTGATTTGGGGTTGGGGGGGGGGGGAGTATCTATTGTTATATTCTTTTTATCAAAAATTAGATTTTTCGTTTATTTTAATGCATAAACATCTTTTGAAAACTTTGGCTTTTACCATTTGAATTAAAAAGTAATTTAACGTTGCTAAATATATTTTAAAGAAGTATGGTAAAAGAAAATTTTGACTTTTGGGGCGTGTGGGGTGAATTTCATGTGAACTAGACCATTGGGTGCCTTTTGCTTTTATAATAAATTTACACCGCTTCCTAGGCATATTTGTTATCGATCGAAAGCTTAGTCTATGTATTTTGTTATTGGAATGTCCAGACATGAGTCTTGGAGGTGTCTTGGAGGTACACTTTGTTCCGCTAAACCACAACCACACAATTTCATTGAAACACTCGTTGTCATTGGTTGACAGCAATTTTTTTTTTTTTTAAATCTCAATTATGATTTTTCAGCTAATTTTATACTTGACCCAGATTAAACAAAATTTGAAGGAATGTTGAGCTACGTTGAGTTTGATGATACAGCAGGCTTACTAGATCACTATTATACGAAACTGTGATACATGCATACGTGTGTCCTTGCGTCCATCATGATGTTTATCAACATGAGAACGATGAATTTTTAAAAAAAATGAATTAATTCAAAATGCCTAAGGTTCCCTAATTTTTATTTTTAAAAGAACATGAAATATACACACACACACACATATATATATATATTATATATATATATATTATATATATATATATATATATACATGTGTGTGTGTGTGTGTGTGAGTGTGTTGTAATTGAAATGTTATAATTCCCTAATTCCCTAGGATTTTTTGGGGTCACAATATTATTCCCCTTTGCCTGTGACATCATTTATGAGCATGACCATGACAAATCAAAAGGAATGTCACAAGTGAATGAACTGAATAAACCTGGGTTTCCCAAAATTTCCCAAAATAAAGTTAAAACAAAAATAATAATATAAATATTATTATTCCCGTATTTTTTTGTCCACAAAACTTATATTCACCTTTTCCAGGCTTAATTGAAATGTTATTTTCCGAAATATTGGACAAGTATTACATCATTCAAGTGTGAGCAGTGCTCGCAGAGGATTAGTCAGATATCAGACGCTGGCAGCACGACGTCGAGCAGTAATGATGATCGGATTGCCGGCCGACAGACTGACAGAGTGACAGTCTGACTTTTGGTAGAAGACCGAAAGTCGCAATCACTTACGGGTTAGACGGCTGAAAGCCTCAGTCACTTTTAGCCAAAACCGAAAATAAACCGAAAGCGAAACTGCGCCAAAAGTAATCAAATGGGAACTTTCGGCTCCGAAACGGAAGTCGAAATTGGGTCGGTCTCTACTTGGTCGGAGTGGGTTCGTTTGAGTGGTGTGGTCGGAGTGGGTTCGTTTGAGTGGTGTGGTCGGAGTGGGTTCGTTTGAGTAGTGTTGTCGGAGTGGGTTCGTTTGAGTAGTGTGGTCGGAGTGGGTTCGTTTGAGGGGTGTGGTCGGAGTGGGTTCGTTTGAGTGGTGTTGTCGGAGTGGGTTCGTTTGAGTGGTGTGGTCGGAGTGGGTTCGTTTGAGTGGTGTGGTCGGAGTGGGTTCGTTTGAGTGGTGTTGTCGGAGTGGGTTCGTTTGAGTGGTGTGGTCGGAGTGGGTTCGTTTGAGTGGTGTTGTCGGAGTGGGTTCGTTTGAGTGGTGTTGTCGGAGTGGGTTCGTTTGAGTGGTGTTGTCGGAGTGGGTTGGTTGAAGACGTTTCTTGTCACCCCTTGTTACACACCATTATCACTGCATTTAGGATCACATTGCGAGATCTATAACAATTTTAACTTTACCAATTTCTTCTGCTTTGAGTCACGATATAAATAAATATATATTAGAAATAGCAACACAAAAAAAAAACCTGAAAACTACTATTAGTATGTATTCAACTCATAATGCTATAAATAATCAAAATAAGACTACAACTAAGTTTATTCAGACAAAAGACTTGATGTCAGTGAGAAACTGACTCCATCTGTCATAATGAAAAGTTGAGAATTATGAGCGCACTTGTTAGTGAAAAATGTTAATTAGTTTAGACTTTAATTAAATTTACTTGAAACCATCAAACTCAATTTTTACTTGATATCATGGAACTCAGATTTATTTGAAAACATGGAACTCAAATTTATTTGAAATCATGGAACTCAAATTTATTTGAAATCATGGAACTCAAATTTATATGAAATCATGGAACTCAAATTTATATGAAATCATGGAACTCAAGTTTACTTGAAATCATGGAACGCGAATTTACTTGAAATCATGGAACGCGAATTTATTTGAAATCATGGAACTCAAATTTATTTGAAACCATGGAACTCAAATTTATTTGAAAACATGGAATTCAAATTTATTTGAAATCATGGTACTCAAATTTATATGAAATCATGGAACTCAAATTTATTTGAAAGCATGGAACGCAAAATTTATTTGAAATAATGGAACTCAAATTTATTTGAAAACATTGAACTCAAATTTATTTGAAATCATGGAACTCAAATTTATTTGAAATCATGGATCTCAAATGTATTTGAAAAGATTGAACTCAAATTTATTTGAAATCATGGAACTCAAATTTATTTGAAATCATGGAACTCAAATTTATTTGAAATCATGAAACTCAAATTTACTTGAAGCCATGGACCTTTGCCCAAAATGCACGTGTGCATAATTTTTTTCCTATTGCTTGCAAACAAACAAAAAACCTGTAACATTTTTTGGTGGCAATATTCTTTCTGGCCGGTGTCATAAATAAACACGACCAACATGTTGTGGTCAATGTTGGCCTGACTGCCAGTTTGACCGCAGGTCTTGTCTTGTGGACGTCAAGCTGACCTGGTCGCCTTTTGCTGTATTTTATGCTAAAATATTTTGACGATCAGTGCAAGAAAGGTGTTTTGTTGGCTCGTGTTAACTTGATATAATCATACGTCATAATTTAACAAATTAAAGGGGGGCGTGGGGGAGGGGTCTTTTAACCCTCGAACAAACGCATACGCCTATGAATCGTTTATTTTCAAATATTACGTTTCCTATTCTTTATTTCTCCGCCTCGAAATAGAACAACCGAAGGCGTATC